GTGCACGTCCATCATAAATCCTCAGAGTATGGGCATTGGTGGAGGCTCTATATTCACAATACGGGAACAAAGTGGTGAGGATTATCATACGTTTAATACATTAAATAAATCATTATTTTATTTTATAATGCATGTTATTGTTAATGTTGCTCCACATCTCTATTATCTAGGCAAAGTGAGAGTAATCAATGCCAGAGAGACTGTCCCAAAAGCGTTTAAAACAGACCTTCTTGCCATGTGTCCAACAACAACACAGCCTATGGAAGGTGACAGTGAACAGTGGATGAACTTTTTTATTAAAATACTTAAATATTTATATTTAAATATGTGCAATGCCCTGTGGCAAAATATGTAATCCACTATTCCTTTCTTTAAATACAGACCTTGTTATGCCTTATTCAGGAAGTAGCCTGAGTTTACTGAGCACTTTAAGCACACATGATAGCTGTAGTTTCTCTCTCTATCTATAGGTGCTCACTGGATCGGTGTCCCAGGTGATATCCGTGGCTATGAGCGAGCTCATAAATTGTATGGACGTCTGCCTTGGGCCAGTTTATTTGAGCCCACTATCAAGATGGCTAGAGAGGGCGTCCCTGTTCCCTATGTGCTCTCTCGATTTTTGCCACTTCTCTTAAAGGAGAAGCCAGAATCCTCATTACGGTAATACATGCACTCACATTCTGAATTAATTCAGACTTACAATGTTCCCTTTAATAGAGCTTTTTAAAAATGAAATCTGTCACATCCAAAGAAGAGCAAAACAATTCATCTGAATGTGTTTCTTTTATAGTCAGTTATTCCAGAATGAGCAAGGTGAGCTTTTGAAAGAGGGAGAAATAGTGAGATTTGAGAAACTAGCAGATACGCTTGAGATCATCGCAAAACATGGGGCAGATGCTTTATACGTTGGAGACATCGCCAAAGAGCTTGTCAGTGATATACAAAACGCAGGTCATTCAGAATGTCACTATCTACAATTCTGATTTCCATAAATATACATGAATCACAGTTTATTTACTGTGTATTTCAGGCGGAACAATTTCTCTGGAGGACTTGAGGTCATTCAGGGCATCTGAATTTGGTGCCTGGGAGGTGACTCTAGGAGAGTATGACATGTACTTTCCTCCACCGCCAGCAGGGGGAGCTACACTTAGCTTCATACTCAATACTATGCTAGGTGGAAAAACTAATTAACCCGTTTGTCCTTTATTAGTAGTACTTGCCTAGGCAAACTTCACTATCACTATGCTTTGCTAGATGATATTTAAATTTAATGATTAAAATAAAACACTTTAGAATTAAATTTTGATGCAGAACTTTTCCGGGCAAGAGTGACCCAACTGTATACATTACTGTTCAGAAATTTGCGGTTGGTAAGATTTTTAAAAATGTTTTTAATGCTCAACAAGGCCGCATTAATTTGATTAAAATACAGTAAAAACAGTAATATTGTGAAATATTTTTTTGCAATTGAAAACAACTATTTTATTTGAATGTATTTAAAATATAATTTATTCCTGTGATGCAAAGCTGAATTTTCA